TGAGCCTTTGCAGCTGGGTGTCCAACACTCCCTGAGAGTTCCTCTGGACAGGGATTCCTGGGCTGTCATCCCAGTGCTCTGGCACCCACAGCCCCTTGACTCCCCTGCAGCCCCAAAGCTGCCCTGCTCAGAACACACCTCCCTCATTCAATCCTCCGGGCACTCTGAACCCCTCACCCGATTCAGCTGCCAGCCACGGAGATCTCATGCAATTTTCTAATTAAGGAGACCTGGAACTTCATTTGGAGATAAACAGGAAATGCTTAAGATAACGATTCTAAACACTGAAATGAGATTTTTCTTTTCACGAGCGCTCAGATGGAGACAAATGCCAGCCTAAAGCCCAAGCACAAAGCAGACTCTGCCCTGGCCATAAAGATTTCATATTTCAGTGCTGTTTACCCCTTTTTCAAATATTTTTGCCAAAGACAACAAGCACTGTAAGTAAATAACACTTAGCAAATTTAACTTCTTCTAAAGGATGTTTGGGTGAGCCAGAAATTTTCAAACACTGGGGTCATGTTCCTTTTTTTTTTTTTTTTTCCACACAAGAACTAGAAAAACATTAAAGAAGAACTTCTTTGATAATAAATGGCACTGTAGGGTTAATGTCATATTGATGAAAGTATTTTGGACTTAATAGAGATGAGTGCAGTTCTTGTTTTACTACCCTGGATGCTTCGAAAAAGCAACTTTCAAAGCACTGACAACAAAAAATGAAGAAGTAAAAGAATTTCCTTGAGTAATACTTCACGGAACGCTCCTGAGAAAGACTAGAATCAACAGATAATGCTTCAGCAGGAAAAAAAAAAAGGAATAATTTGGACCATTCCCCTTTTCCATAAAGCATTACTAGAAGTTACTGCTTTCCAGCAGGTTTTCCCTGTACAGATAGACAGAGGCAGCTCCTCCTGTACAATATTCCAATAACAGGCATCGTAACATCACTTGCTTTAATGTAATAATTATGTTACAACTACTGCAGTTCCAGCTCAAGACTTACACATTGCCAAGTGGCTTGAAGAAACACTAAATATAGTTCAGCACAGAAACTTTTCTGCGGGACATGAGCTATTAAAAGCCATGTAGTGTGTGAGTCACAGTAATGCCAGGAGTACAGGCCCTGGAAAAACCTATTTGTACACAAGGGGTTGTATTTGAACAGTGGGAAACGAGCACAGAAGGGATGGTAAGTCATCTTCTTGCATAAACCCAGAGCTTTCTGAGGCAGCTCGTGGTCTCTTCCAGATTTCTAATTACTCAGAGCTGCCTGTCCCTGGTTTAAATTACTGCAAGAGCCTCGGGGCAGATCGAGTATCTCTCCCAGTAAAGGCAGTAAGAATATCCACCTGTCTGATCTTGGGTGACTTCACCAGACCCAAACCTCCCACACCAGTTGTCTGGAATCATTTTAATCTGAATGGTACGCTGGTGACTGCACATAAAAGGTGGAAAAAGAACCTGATGGCAACAACAGCAGCAGCTGGTCCCCAGGGGGACACCCAACTGGTGTGAGACTGTCACAGCCTGAAATGCCATTAATTACCAGCCTGAGCTCTGTGAGCAAACAGCACGATCCAGACCCCTCTGTGGGCTCATTCCTCACAGAAATTACTCAGCTATGTACTTCAAATGCTTATTAGTGTATCGGTGCAAAGCTTTGATGACAATAGCTCTGAAGGTTTATTTTCATTAGGGATGACTGCAGCTATAAAGGAGAATATTCCTGAGCTTCTAATCAAATCTGTCACCTTTGTAATTTACAAAAGGGGATGAAAGCTAAGACAAGCACTCACAGATATCTGAAGAATTACCTTGCTGACATCATACATCACATAATTACTTTAATTTCTGAGCCTAACACTCAGCTGCTCTGCTGGAGTGAGGATCTGCTCAGGAAGCATCCCAAGGACAGGTACAAACACCAGGGAGAACCTCCCCTCCCCAGATCTGTGAGACAGCACGTACTAAAACACAGTCCACAACTCCCATTTCCCAGGGTAAGCCTGCACACACCACTGTTCTCAGTGGGTATGAGCTGTGGTCCTCACAGGAGAGGGAGGTTCAGAGAAATTAGTACACAAATCCCATTAAAAGCAACCCCAGCACGTGGCCTCCAAGGAACCACAGACCACCTGAAATTCATCAAGTTCAGAATTAAGGTTATTCCTTTCTTCTCCACTCCCTCCCCAGTCTATTTTTTAAGCCTATCTAAAAACTTCCAAGCTGTTTCCAGCTGGATTTGGGATGTAGCTCAAGAGGAAGCCAGCTCTGAGCTGGCTCCTCTGGGTGATCAGCTGTGTGCCTGTCATGGGCAAGGTGCCACTTTATTCCCATGCATTAACTGAGCTCGTGTGGAACTAATGATTCCCTGGCAAGCCCTGCCTCTGCTCACCTGCATGCCACAGCCCTGCTTTTTGGGAATTATCCTGGCTGGGTTAGAGAGCCTTCCCAATAGCATGAGCACCAACATGCCAAGATTCAGTCACTGCTCCAGCTAAGACTGCCCTCAGAAAATTGTGATGCCGCCTCCAGTGACAGGTTCTGTCTCAGTCACCTGGCCCACGCTCCGACAGCGACTGATATTTTACTTTCTGGGTTTCCCAGAGCTTGAGCTGTTCCCCTCAGCAGCACTGACAGCAAATCTGGCAGATACATAAAATATGAAGTCCTCAACAGCAGACTGAACGCTTGTCTCAAGGCAGCCAACCACATCCACGAGACAATTGCAGCCAAATATTTAACACATCTATTAATTATTGTGGAATCCCGTTCCACTCAGCTAATCCCCTCTTTAATTAGTTTCCTACATGTATTTCACAACTCCATATAATCCTATCCACGGACTCACAGGCTTCCCACAAATGCCATTCCTTGGCTCTGATGGAGCTCTTGCCCATCTTTTCTACACTAAGGTGTTACTTCCCTGATCCCAAATCACACATTTGGGATCCAAGGCCAAGGATGCCAGCCTTGGAAAGCGGGCTGGGAGAAGGGCAGTGTCATTCCTCCCTTCAACCCTGATGTATTTCCAACAGCCCTTCATTAAAGGGAACAAACCCAGGTACGGCCGAGCTCTGCTGACCCCACGGGGAAGTGTCTGCTCTCCACACACCCCACTTGTGAGGAAAACACCTCTGAGTGGGGGAAAGCAAAGCAGGAGGAGACACCCCTTCCAAACACACCACCAGGAAACACAACAGTCAGAGATGAGCCCAGGAGCAGCAGGTGACACCCAGGGGGATGTCCCAGGGAGGGGGGACATGACCCCTCAGCACAGATCCCAAACTGCTCCTCCTGTGGAGCAGCTTATTGCTCTACAGGACCCCCCAAGGGTGTCCAGGGTCTGGAAACAGTGAGCCATCCCCTCCTCAAGCACTTACAGAACTAGAGGCTCCTTCTATGCAGGGCTTGTCCCCTCACCCTGTCCCAGCATAAAAAGCTAATAAATGACTTAACCAACTCAATATAACACATAATATTGCCTGCAAGATCCCACTGAATGCCTTCCATGAGCCCTGCAGTGCCTCTCAAACCAAATTTGAAAGCCTCAGCCCTGATACTTGCAAGTGAAACCAGTTAAAATTTGTCCCCACTACATGGTTTGACTCTGGGAAAGGAAACAAGAACCCCAATGACTACAGGAATGCTTGCCTAGTACATGAAATGTAAGGAGGTGAGTAATATGAAATATTCACAATTAATTAATATCGAGCTCATAAAAACACATGACTCGGCATCATTTAGAAAAAGTTCAAAACGAAGAACAGTGACAGCATTGTCTGCGTTTTAATGAAACCAGGAACCCCCCATCCTGCATGCCCAGACTGCCAGGGCACCTCAGACTCGCTGGCACAGCTGTGTGAGCAAGAACCTGCCCAGACACCACACCCTGAGCACCCCAGGGTGCCACTGCCCTCACCTGCCCATGGCCAAAGGTCACTGCCCAACCTCGCCCCACACCCCGCTCCAAACACTGCTCCACAGTTCAGCGGGATTTTCCCCTGCAAGCTCAAAGCAGCTGTTTATCCTACTCAGTACAGCCCAGATTACTCGAAATTCCACTTGGGATTTGGAGCTGTGGGGCTGACACATGCAAACAGGGAATGCCAATAATCCCTCCAACAAGGTGCTATGGAATGAGAGGACAGAGGTTGGCTGGGAAGTTGTTCCCTTTTCCTAGCAAAACAAACCTATTAAAAATTTACTCCTTGGGCTTTATGAGCTGACACACCTGCCCTGGTTTGTGTGGGCCCCGAGGAAAACAAACACCCTGTTAAAGGGAAATTATTGGAGAGGATGCCACCAAAATATACTCAGATAATAAATGAGTTTATACTCTGTGTATCAGTACAGGCTTCCAGTTTATACTTCTAGTATAGGTGCAAGCTTTCAGATTAAATCTTTACTAAAAGGAGAGATGAGTTTCTAGGGGAAAATATTGACTTCTACTAGAAACCCAGTGCGATGATATCTGCACGTTCAGCTCACGTGTCTGGGCACAGATTTACTTCCACACAACGAGATCCTGCCCAGACTCCAACAGCTGGAAACTGGTGACAACTGTACCTACAGGGTACTGTCACTTCTGTTAAAATTAAGTCCTGGGGGAGGCACTCCCTGAGCATCTCTTAAATGTGAGAAACAGCAAGAAACAGACGGAACATCTCAGAATTAACGAGGAGAGAAAGGAAACGAAAGTCGCCAAACCCCAGACAGGAAGAGCCCGATGCAAATGGCCCTGTGGGGCCTCGGGGACCCCCAGGGCTCTGCTGGCCCCCCCGAGAGAGCCAGGTCTGGTGTGACCCGCGGGCAGGGCAGGGGGAGCGCCCGGGGCCGGCGGGGACCGACCGACCGACTGACCGACGGACCATGGCAACGGACGGACCCCCCGCCCAGGGCAGCGCGACCCGTCGCTGCTTCACCCCCTGGCGGCCGCGGCCCCCCGCCCCGCTGCCCCCAGCCCAGAGCGGAGCCCCCCGGCCCGGCCCGGCCCGCACCTGCCCACGGTCTGGTTGGCGAGCTGCTTCATGCGGTTGAACTGCTTCTTCATGGCGGCGGCCGCTGCCGGGGCTCCCCCGGCGCCGCTGCTCCCCCGGGCTGCCCCGGCCCCGCCGCTGCCGCCGCCGCCCCAGCGCCGCCCGCACGGCCCGTTCCGGCCCCGCCCGCCGCGCCTCACCGGCCCCGCCCGCCGCCCGGATGTCCCGCCCGCGGCCCGGATGGGGCAGCCTCTCTCCGCTGTGGCGGTGCCTGCGGCGCTCTCTCGGGAGCCCCGGGCCCTGCTCCCCCTGCGGACCGGGTTAGGCTAGGCTAGGCTGGGCTGGGCTGGGCCGGGCCGGGCTCACTGCTTGGGGTGCCCGTCCCGGGACAGCCCCAGCCTCGCGCCGGTACCGCCGAGCACCTCCGGGACTACAGCTCCCGGCATGCCTTGCGGTACCCGCCACTTCCCGGGCGGGGTGCTTCTACCCGCTCGCTCTCATTGGGCGGCGTGGGGACGGACGAGCCCGCGGACCAATCGCTGCCGAGCTCCGGCGGAGGCGGCCCAATGAGCGGCGGCGGGGGGCGGGCCGCGGGGGCGGTGGCAGCGGCCGGGCCCCGCGCGCTCCATGGCGGCCGCCGGCGGCCCCGACGAGGCGGACGAGGCGGTTCGCGGCACCTGCGAGGACGCGTCTGTCTGCAAACGGTACTGGCCAGGGCGGGCGGCACGGGCACCGCCGCTCCGTCCCCGGGCCGCGCAGGGCGCTGCTGGGGCGGGGAGCGGAGCAGGGAGCACGGGCGGCTCCCGCCGAGCGGCGCTGGAGGGGAGCGGGAACAGCCCCGTCCCGGTGCCCCGGGAGAGCAGAGCTGGCCACGAGGGGTGCGGAGATGAACTCCCCGTGTGAGGGCCGCGGGTGCCCCGAGCACGCCCCTGGTCCCTCTCTGAACCCCTGCCCGGGGTGGGCTCAGAGCTCGCTGATAACGCAGCGTACCAGGGCAGCCAGCACCCGATACTGGGGCCAGAAACTCCAGCTGTGGGGGATGTCTCTGGGATAAACTGTCTCGATGTATTTCAGGCTCCTTTCTTCACCCGCTCCGGGACGGGCGCGGCGAGGGGATGAGTTCGTTGCCCTCTTGTGCCTGGGCGTGAATTTAGCTCGTGTTGTCGCTGGCTGTTTGTTCTGCCCGCTTGGTTTTTGCAGCAGGAGGTTGTTGGGTGGTTGAGTTTGGTTTAAGAGTTTTCCTTTTTGAGCCAGTTGTAAAACCGGCGAGTCTCACTCAGAACAGAGTGACACTTGTCTGTGTTAAAGGACTGTGTTTAAGCTCTGCAAGAAGTGCAAACAGCTCGTGGCATAACAAGGAGTAGAAGGAAAGCCTGATTTGCGTGTGTCTGAGGACCTGGAGACACATTCCCCTGCTGGGTCCTCCAGGAGGAAATATCTGGGGATCGGGTCTTTGCTCACAGACTTTCATCCACTAGTGCAGAGCCCATTAAAAAGTTGCTTCTTTGGTATGGCAGCAGCCAGATTTTCTAACTAAACTTTATATAATCTCTTAATTGAAATGGTTCCACTCGTGAAGAAGATTTTTAGTCTATGTCTGCATGTGCACACCCAGGGCAGAGGCATCTTACCAGCCTCTGTATCTTTTAGAGTACACCAAGATGTACCCTTGGTGGCCTTCTTTCCTAATCCTTTCATTCTTTTCCCCACTCCTGGACAGGTTTGCTGTCAGTGTTGGCTACTGGAAGGACCCTTACATCCAGTATTTTGTGAGACAAGCCAAGGAAAGAAAAGCACCTGAGATCAATAGAGGCAAGTTGGAATGGGGATGGAGACACTGAGCTGGCCTTGAGGCGGACAAAACCCCTGTGCACTGGCTGTTAGGGGGGTAGGGAATACAGGAAAGAGTGAGACAAGTTTTCTTCACAGAAATAATTCCTTCCTGTAAATCAAAGCTCTCATCCTTTGCTTTCTGTGTTCTCAATGGGACGTGTCTCAGTGTGCAGAAATCTCCTCAAAACAATCAAAGAAATGTTTCTTTGGCCCAGGACAGCTGGGTATGTCAGCTCTGGTCTCTGCAAGTGTGGACACCAGCCAGAATTATTTTGCTCTGTTTGAGGTGAAACTTACTAAAACTTCTATTTACCCAATGAATTCTGTTTTATCAGTGCCTCAGAATTTTGTTAGTAATTAAAAAATAAAACCAAAACCCCTAGATATCTTAAAAAGAGGGCATTACTCTTCCTGAGAAACACCACTTTTCAAACAGGCTGCCTGAAATTCTTCATGAGTGTTAAACATTGAGCATTACATAAAAATAATAATTAATCCCAAGCTCTTGTGTGTGTTAACAGGTTATTATGCTCGTGTTCACGGAGTCAGTTATCTGATTAAAGCGTTTCTAAAGAGGACAGAATGCAACTGTCAAATTGTTAATCTTGGGGCTGGCATGGACACCCTGTTCTGGAGACTGAAGGTGAGGAGAGCAGGGGGGACAGGCCTGGCTGAGGACTGAGATCCCTGGGGAGGTTTGGACTGCCTAGGCTGTCACAGAATCCCAGAGTAGGGGTTGGAAGAGCTCTGGGCATCATCCAGTCCAACCCCCTGCCCAGGCAGGGTCACCTGCAGCAGGTGACACAGGGACTGTCCAGCTGGGGCTGGAATGTCTCCAGAGAGGGAGATTCCACAACCCCCCTGGGCAGCTGTTCCAGTGCTCTGCCACCCTCCAGGGAGAGAAGTTTTCCTCCTGCTGAGGTGGAACTCGTGTTTTATTTTATGACCATCGCTCCTCGTCCTGTCACTGGCACCACTGAGCAGAGTCTGGCACCATCCTCTGACCCCCCTTGGAGACATTTGTATGGATTGATGGGATCCCCTCTCAGCCTTCTCTTCTCCACGCTAACCAGGCCCAGCTCCTGCAGTCTCTCCTCATCAGAGGAGACCCCACACCTTTGGGGGTGGACCCTCTCCAGGAGCTCTTTGTCCTTCTTGGAGCCCAGATGTGGGCACGGCACTTCAGATGTGCCTCACTGGGCCGAGCAGAGGGGCAGGGTCGCTCCCTGACCCACTGGCCACACTCTTCCCATGTCCCCCAGGATCCCACTGTCCTGGCTGCTCTGCCTCAGCTGAGTCAGTCCAGGTGCCTTTAAAGCTCAGAGCTCAGGAGGGGCTGTGGGTTGCCCTGGCTGTTCCCCACAAGTGTGTGACACCAAGCTGACCTCTAGTGGACTTCCAGGAAGAGCAGGAATGCCGCATTTTCTGTTCTCTTTCGACCTTTAGATTCCCCTATTCTATCCTCTAATAAAACAGGAATGGTGTAGCAAAGCACAGGATTGTACAGGCTCTGTGTACACGTTTCTGAATGAACTATAGAAATGTGAGTTTATGTATGTAAATCACAGAATCCTAGACTGGCTTGGGTGGGAAGGGACCTTGAATGTCATCCAGTGCCCAGGGAGGTTGGACTGGATAATCTCCAGAGGTCCCTTCCAACCCCAACTATTCTGGGATTCTGTGATAACATAAAACTTTAAATAATTTCGTTAAAGCCTAGAGAACATTCTATTGTCTGTGAACTGGGTTTTGTTGGGTTTTAGGTTGTTTTAAGCTGTAGGACACTGTTACACCATTGTTAGAAATGCCAGTGTAAGCTGAACCAGAACTGTTCAGGACTTGAGGTTATATATTCTCTTGAGTGTGAAACTTGAGCGTCCCTGATTCTGGTGTCTTCCTCCAATTCCCAGGATGAAAATCTTCTCCCTAGAAAATATTTTGAAGTGGATTTTCCGATGATCGTTGCAAGAAAAATACACAATATCAAGTAAGTCTGAGGCCCGTGTTTATCTGTGTGAGACTGAATGTGAGTCAGTGTCATTGTTTCAGCTCTCTGCTGAGAAGCATTTCGTGCTCTGAGGTGTGAGGGTGGTGAGGGTGTGAGGCACTGACAGGCTGTCCAGAGCTGTGGCTGCCCCATCCCTGGGAGTGTCCAAGGCCAGGCTGGACGGGGCTTGGAGCAACCTGAGCTGGTGGAACGTGTCATGGGTGGGACTGGATGGGCTTTAGGGTCCTTCCAACCCAACCCATTCCGGGATTCTGTGTAGAATAAGGGTTCATTTTGCAGGCAGGTTCCTACACGTGGCTGTGCAGCCCCTGTTCCAAACTGGAGGAGGTGGTGTGTGGAAGCTCTAGGGAGCCAAGCAGACCTTGTTCTGGGGCAGGGAAAGTCTCCTGATGGTTAGAGGTGATTGAGTCTTTTCTTACTGTTGAAGACAGCAGTAAATTCCCAGATTTGCCTGTTCAGGTAGAGAGGTGGGATAACTGGTGCTGTGTGGGAATGTTCTGTTTGGATGAATCCATTAAGGCTTACTGAGGATACATACAGAGTACCTGGACTTTTCTTGGAAGATTACCTCAAAAGTTAGGAGTAATTTGGTATAAAAGTCAGCTGCAACTTTCACAAGCTTGCAAAGGTTTTCATTTCCAGTAGAGGGCAGAGATATTCTCTTGGCTGCCTTTATCACAGACACACACACACACATGGATATATATATATATGTTAAAAAAAAAAAAGATGTAAGCACACTGTTTAACAGGCTTAGCTGCTCTGAGATGCTTCTTCCTTCTTCCCACAGATCAAAACCTCCCCTGTCAAAACCAATTATGGAATCCCATTCAGGGGACTCTCTTCTAATAGGTGAGTCATCCTCAAACTCAGTCAGCGATGTACTGCAGCACTTTTAAAACTTTTCTGATCATTTTGTTCTGCTATGTGGGCAGGCTTTTAATGTTTGAAATGCTGTTTGGACAGAGAATTGTGAGAGAAAAGAGGCTTTTTTCTTCTCTTTTAGACTTCTGCCCATTCGTTCTGTGTCATGTTAGAAATGTCTTCTCTCTAAGTGGTTTTATTCTGCCAGAAAGTTGTTGGGTTTTTTCTTTTTCTCTCATATGTAGCTCAAGTTTTCTGTCACAGGAAAAAGTGCTACTGAGAGGCATGGATACAGGATTAAAATATCTATTGAGTGTTTATCTTCTTTCTGTCTCTTTAGGAGAACAAGTCTTTACATTTAGCAGAGTTTTCACAGCAGAAACACAGCCTGCAAAGTCCAAGCTCAGGAGCCAGTGCTGTTTGTCATATTTTAGTATTAAAAGGGTAATAAATTCAGGTGGTGTCATGGTTGTGCTGTCTTCGCTTATAACCTTATTCTGAAACAGGATGTTGTGGACTCCCCATCTCGAGGAACACTAATTACTTCCATCTGTGATAGCATCTAATTTGTGTGAGCAGGTGTGACCCTAAAGC